AAAAAAAAAAGAAAAAGAAAAAGAAAAAGAAATCTATTTCTTTCTCTGTCACCACGGTTTTTGCGTGCCGCTGCTCATCTTTTTATACCATTAGCTCTGTTCCCTTTAATGTTAGCATTGTTGTTTTTGTGTGCACATTTAATTCATGAAAAAATCTTTTGTTGATTTAGGAGCTATTACATACGTGAGAGATGTTACTGCTACAGCTGAACTTCTTGAAAGGGATGATGTTGATGCCATAGAAATTCATACCAGTGCAAGGTTAGCATACAAAATGTTTTGGTTAATATATTCCCCGAAATCATTTAAGTGTGAATTTCACTACTTATTCTATTGAAACACAAACTTAACCCGTAGAACAGGTACCTACTCAAGATATATTGTTGTAAATTGTAATACACTCTGATTTTACAACAACAACAACAACAACAACATACCCAGTATTATCCCACACCGTGGGGTCTGGGGAGGGTAGTGTGTAGGCAGACTAATACACTCTGACTTTGGTTTTTCTAAATTCTTTAACAACAAAAATCACAAATAAAATGTAGACATGGTTCTATTTCGTAAGTTTTTAAGGATAAAAGTTCTACTTCCATGGTTTTCAAGAGTCGGGGTCACATTATCAAAGTGACATCATTTGTAGCTAGCAAATGTATTTTATCTGCATCCTCATTTTTGGAATAGGGTGCCTGCAGTATTTAGAGAACTCTGGACTGGGTTGGGGAACTCAACTGCAAATCTGAAGCTCGTCGCAGTATGTGAAGCTGTTATTCATTTTCTGATCTCTGATGGCTACATTAAATACTATCATCTAGTAAGTTAAAAAAATTATTCCATTTCAAAAGAGTAAGTTACATAATTTGTTTTTATCTTGGTTTCCTGTAGGTTAGCTTTCCAGACTTGAGAGATTCAACCATATCGGCAATGGAAGCTATGTACTCCATAATGGAAACCAACATACAATGCTTCAACTTATGGCAGGTGCAAATCATGCGTCCTATTGCAATACTTATTTAGAAGCTAGGACTCTCCAAAGATATTTCTCACAATTTCCATTTATTATCATGAATTGAAGTTGGATGGTCGACCTATGAGTGGAGATATTGGGCGAGGTGCCACGAGAGATGTAATTGCTTTTGTACGAAAATTGGCCTCTGCTGGAAACAAGCCTAAAGGTATCCACATAAAACTAATTCGTTTGCTACTGCTTGCAACAACTCATTGTTTCTATAAAATACTCGCTGGTGCAACTTGAAGATTCTTCGTACGCCATAGGTTTTCTTCAACTGGCGGGTGGTACAAATGCTCACACCATAGAGGGTTTGAAAAAGGAGAGATTATTCCAAAAAACAACCATACATGGTATTAACTCCACAGTCCTCACTTTATTAAGTTCATGTTCCTCATAAAACTGAACTTTTAATATCAATTTGCACATTTCTTCAGAGGCTTCAGATTATGAGAAAATTCCCTCGAGTTCCTTACATTCACCAAATGCTTTGATAGCTGGTGTGGCCTTTGGTGGCTATGCACGAAAGGTTGGTCCTTTTTGCCAATCATGGAAATTATTGTAGTCTATCGAATCAACTGCATGGGGTAAATACTTGGCAGTATCATAATTTCGTCTTCTTATTCTCCTCTTCAGATAGTTGGCAGGGTTTTGAATTCAGTGCAAAACCATCATGGACTTGCTCATGTCGAAGATTTCCCCGAGCAACTTCTGCAGGCCATTTTTGAATCACTTGCTCTGGTTGGAACTGTTAAATGTTACAACATCCAGAAGCAGATCACTTAGATTGTATTTGAGGTTGATACACCAGAAGAAATTTAAACTATGAGGTTTTGGGAAGACCTGGCTCAAGATTAAAATTTATGGTCTTTGGTACAGAAAAAGTCAAAGGTCAAAATCAAAAGATGACGGTGGTATAGCTCAGACAGAATATAGAAACAAATACCAGACTGGAGAAGGATCAGTTCCTATACATGATCATAGGGGAGGACTTCAAAACTTTGATTTAACGGTGTGCTCTCTAACCTTAAGTTCTTCACTTTACTCATTAGCTACTTTGGTAGATCTATAGCTGAGCGAATCTAGGTTCCAGCAATACTTTTAAATGTTATGAAGTGCTTTATTAATTAGCTTGCTTAGCTAAAAGTTCCATTTGACCTCCCTTACAAACAACCATTGTAGATATATCATTAAAAGTCATTTTACTTTTCAGTAATGAAATGGTATACCGTATTAGCCAAATATGTCTATTTTCTAGTGTCGAAATGCTATCCCATGCAAAAATTGGCCGCTGTTTTCAGCTGGCTGGTAGTGCTACAACTAAAAACGGTCATCATAAGGACCTAGTCATGCCATGAGATCTTTAAAACTTCTGATGTTTATTTTATCATGCCAATATTGATCTTTTCGATATACGATCTTATATGGATATAAAATGACATCAAAACATGCACTCGCTTGAACTGTATAGTGTTCTTTTGGAATCTTATTAGCATTTGAAATATCTGCTCTATTAAATTCTTGTTAACCTAACATTTCTATAACTTAATTTTCTATATCCATTATCTTTTTGTACATTGTTTTCCTCTTTATTTGTACTTTCTCTAAGTTTTGGCTCTTGTGGTCATGTCGTTATCAGGAAATTCTTGACACCAGGCGAAGGCGGCAAAGGCATCTGTATAGCACACAGATTCCTTGGACTCTCGCCTACAATGTTTAGTTAACAGAGTGCAGACCCATAGGGATTATTTGGTGACTGACTAGTGACTCATGACCAGCACTTGATTGGAAGAATCCACCACCAGCTCTAACATGTGTATCAGCAATTGCCATATTTCTTAGTAGATCAGTTAAAGTCATCTATCTGCTGAGATGTGAGAATAGGAGAAGTTATTCCAAGAAAAGTTTAGCCTTTAGAGATTAGAGAGTTGGAAGAGGCTGCTATTGGAATCAATCGTCCCGGGTAAGCAGGCTGCAACTAAGGTCAAGTTCAATCATGTGGCCCGACATCTCATCACAGTTCACTCCTTCCCATAGGCAGCAATCTCCGCTCTTATTCCATGGTATTGTTTTTGGATAAGATTTCTTACTATAGTAACCACAAATACTAGATGGCCATGCTCTTTTTTGATAAGATTTCTTCGTCCGTACTTCAACTGTGCCCCAAAGATCAAAGCATTACCTACTAAAATTCAACAAAACGCTTACTGAAGGTCCCTCATCTAGTATTTGTCATTACGATAGTTAGAATCTTATCTAAAATAATTTCATGGAATATGAGCGCAGTTAGAATCTTATCTAAAATAATTTCATGGAATATGAGCGCAGCTTACTGCCTATAGGATCGAGTGAAATGTGATAAGATGTCAGGCCAAGTGATTGAACTAGACCTCAATTGCAGCCTGCTTGTAGGGACGATTGATTCCAGTAGCACCCTCTTCCAACCCCCTCATCTCGAAAGGCTAAACATTTTTTGGAATAACTACTCCAATTCTGACACAACCTTCAATGTGTACCAGCAAATAGAGCTTGTAAAGGAGTATGTTATTTAGCCGGTGGTTAGATTCATTTATGGTTTACTATTGTATCAAAGCAAGAGATGTCCTCAATCTTTCCCTGCTACAAAGTTTGTTCTTTGTAATCTAAGCACAAAACTTTTCCTCAAAATATTTTGCCAAAAGGTTTTCTAGAACTTGGTAGTCCAAAATCAAACCAAACTCAAATCCAAATGTCATAGGCTAGCTGTAACATTTTTGCTGTTATTATATAATCCAAAACTCAATTTTAATAATCATGTTGATTTATTGTAGGATAATAATTAAGTGAAGACAGCACACCTGCTTAGTAAAATTCATGTCTTTTTTATATCTAGCTTACATTAATAATTGTTTTTGTCATTTCTTGACAAACTCTTCATTTGCAATATATGCAGTCTGCTTCTTCTCAATAAGAAAAGCTCACACTAAAAATAAGACTTCAAAATTTGATGACACAGACATTAATCTCTTATTCTACTCAGATGAACTGAAAAACTATCTGCTTCTTCTCTTATTCTTTAGAAATTTTCAGCTAGTTTAAAGTTTAACTTTGTTCCTCTAGCCTAGTCATAATTAACAATATTCAGTTTTTTTTTTTTTACATAATTTATATGATATTCATTGGCTCGATTAATCTGAATATTTCAAAAAGTGTTCTCTGCCAAGAGATTCTCCATTCCACACTCGATTTTACCCAAAATAATGCGGAGAGAGCAGTTTACCTTTTTTTTTATAATTCATTTTAACGTATTGAGACCAACTAAATAAGATAAAGAGAGTATTTTCAAGCAATTAGATGCACAAGTTCGAGACCTCCAGCTAGTCAATACTGCTTGCAAAAAATGTTAGTCCAATGGCAGAAACGAAAAAAAAAGGCACGAAATGTTGGACTTACATAGTCTATGCAGAAGCTTGATATGTATTTATTTGTATTGGGCTTAGCATCCCACATTACTTAGCAGCCCACACTCTGTCGAGTCGGCCCACATAATTAGCATTAGTTCTTTACGTTTTTACCCTTGTATATAAATACAAATTCTAGAACCTTCAGCAGTAAAGGGATTCATTTTTTACAAAAAGGATGAATAAAATTACAGCACTGTTCTTCTTTGCTCTTCCTTCTCTTAAGCCCTAATGTACTATTTCTTCTTTGTTTCTGGTACAAATCGAAACTTTACATGGTATCAGAGCCGGGAATATTGTAGATCTTCATCTCCCGAGTCGATCGATGGTACCCTCGTCCAATTCCGTTCAGGTTTGATTTTCGTCTGGATTCACTCACTTCGTCAATTTCTCAGTTTCCGGCGAAGACTTGTTGGTTTCATAGTGATTTTCTCCTACTTTGTTGAGCTTTCACTCCGATTGTTGGTGTATTTTGTCGAATTTCTCCGGTTTCGAGATAAAGTTCGAAACTAGAGTTTGTGACTCTACACTCTACCTAGTCCGAAACATCGTTATCTTCAGTGACGTCGTGCATTTGTTTTTCAAGGTTGTTCTTCTCCGGTTGCGAAAAAGGCTGGTAAACACGTTTTATTTTCTATATTGTTTCTGCTGGTTATTGAGCACTATTGGTTGAAGTTAAATCCTGTGGTATATTTCTGTTGATTTTGTGGTATAGTTTTGCTGGTGTTTCTCCGTCTAGTTTCAGTCATGGCTAACGGGTCTAGTAGTACTACTGCTGATTTTGAATTTATACCACGTGCTTCTAGTCCATTATTCCTTCATTCGTCTGATATACCTGGGATGTCCTTAGTTGCTGTTCCTTTTTCTGGTTGTGGTTTTGGTGGGTGGAGAAGGAGCATTATTGTGTCCTTGTCGGCTAGGAATAAAATTGCATTCATTGATGGTAGTTTTCCTAAGCCGGCTGCTGGTTCCCCTGAGTCTAAACAGTGGGACAGGTGTAACAACATGGTTATATCCTGGTTAACCAGCTCACTCACACCTGAGATTGCTGAGAGTGTCCATTATTCTGACACTGCTGAAAGCATCTGGAAACAGTTGAACAATAGGTATAGAACTATTAGTGGAACAAAGAAATTTAAAATTAAAAAAGAATTGGCTTCCACATGTGAGGGACCTCTTGATATAGCTTCTTATTTCAACAAGTTAAAGAAATTATGGGATGAATTGGGGGCTATGGGTTCAAATCATGCAAATACATGCACTTGTATTGCGAATGAGGGTTTGTTGAGGGAAGATGAAGAAAATAAAGTTCACCAATTCTTAATAGGCCTGAATGAAACTTATATAACTGTCAAAAGCAACATCCTCATGATGAATCCACTTCCTTCACTTGATAATGTGTATAACATTCTTCTGCAAGATGAAAAGCAGAGACAAGTGACTCTCAATACTCATTTCACACATGACCTAGCATCTTTCAATGCAAATGCAACTACACCTATTATGTTTCCTCCTCATTTTCAGCCCCAAAGGCAGTGCACTCAAAAGGTCAATTTTGACTCACCTAATCAGAGGCTGGTTCCTAATCAGAACAAAGACTTATCCTGCAAGTACTGCAAAAAGAGTGGTCATACAATTGATAAGTGTTATAAATTGATTGGATTTCCACAAGGTTTCAAGTTTAACAAGGGCAAAAGGTTTGGGACTGCCGCAAATGTTGAGTCTTCTGAAAATTCTAATTCTCCTACAATATCTGGTTCCAATGGTCCAGTTGCTGGTATACCTGGTCTTACTATGGAGCAGTATTCCCAACTCTTGAGTTTGCTGCAACAATCCAGTCTTGTTGATTCCAATCCTCAACCCAACTTTGGGAGGTCTGCTAACTCTGCTGGTAGTAATCTTTCTTTGCCTGAGCTTAATGGTGTTGCTGCTTATTCTGCTTGCATGTTAACTAGTGTAGCTAGAAGTGTTTGGATAGTAGATTCAGGAGCAACTAATCACATGACCTCTGCTAAAGAACTTCTTTTTGACATTACTCCACTTCTTGTTCCCTACTTAGTCAGTCTACCTAATGGATACAAAGTAAAAGTCACATGCACAGGGTCACTCACTCTAAATTCTTCATTTGTCTTGCACAAAGTGCTTTACATACCTACTTTCAAGTACAATTTCATCTCTGTGCATAGGCTGATTCAACAGTTTTATAGCATAGTCATTTTTACTTCTTGTTCCTGCTTGATACAAGACCTTTCCAGGAAGAAGCTTCTGGTTCTTGGTAGACCGGACCAAGGGCTATACAAACTTCATCACCTTCCCAGTTCATCCCTTCTGGTTCTGTTTTGAATAATGTTGTGCAGAATGTATCTAGCTCATCTTTGAATACTTATGTCTGTAGTCTAAATAAATGTGTGGTTCCCTCTGTTTCATATGTTCATTCTGTACAACATGTGAATGCTCTTGATATGATTTGGCATAATAGAATGGGACATCTTCCTTTTGCAAAATTGAAGTGTATACCTTCTGTTTCTTTTGATTTGTCTACTAAACAGTCTTTTATTTGTTCTATCTGTCCTTTGGCTAGACAAGCTAGATTGCCTTTTCCCGATAGTACATCCAACTCTACTTCTCTGTTTCAACTCATTCACATTGATACATGGGGGCCTTATCATACCCAAACTTATTCTGGTGCTAAATATTTTTTGACAATTGTAGATGACTTTAGTAGGGCAACTTGGACACATTTAATGAGTTCCAAGAGCATTGCCTTTACTTTACTTAAAGCTTTTATTGCCATGGTGAAAACACAATTTAATCTTTCTGTTCAAACAATAATAAGTGATAATGCCTTGGAGCTTGGTTCTTCAAACTTAGCCTGCCAATTTATTTTCTGATAATGGGATCCTGCACCAAACTACATGCCCTCATACACCACAACAGAATGGGGTTGTTGAAAGAAAATATAGACACTTGCTGGAAACATCAAGAGCTCTATTGTTCCAATCCAAACTTCTAACAAAATTTTTGGGGGATTGTGTTTTAACAGCCACTTATCTTATAAATAGATTTCCTTCCTCTGTTTTATCTAACAAATCCCCATTTGAAATTCTTTATGGCAAAGCACCCTCTTATAGTCATTTAAAAACTTTTGGTTGCATTTGTTATGCAAGTGTGCCCAAGTGTCATAGGGATAAATTTCAACCTAGGGTTGTCCCTTGTGTCTTTATTGGTTATCCTTTTGGCAAAAAAGGCTACAAGCTTTACAATCTTAAGAACAAGTCTATTTTTGTCTCCAGAAATGACCTCTTTCATGATTCTATTTTTCCCCTCCATCTCAATTATTCTTCCTCTTCCTCTCCTTCCTCTCCTTTTCCTCCTGGTTTCCCTCCTTATTTTGATGAATCTACCTCTAGTTTTTCCTCTGATCCTCCTCTTTCTCCTTCTTCTTCCATTCCACTTCCATCTGTCACTTCTTCTCCTACTTCTAATGCACCAGCTCTTGTTTCACCTCTCCCTGCAGTTAGAAAGTCTTCTAGAAGTCATCATATTACTTCTCATCTTCAAAATTATGTAGTTCAGCTTCATCCTTCTATTTCTTGCTCCTCTACTGCCTCCACTTCTGTTGCTCAACATGCAGCAGTTGAGCCTCACTCTTATGCTCAGGTTGCTGCCAATCCAGCTTGGCAGGAAGCCATGAGGAAAGAGTTTGAGGCATTGGAAGCTAATGTGACTTGGGATATTGTGGAACTGCCCAAAGGTAAAAAGCCAATTGGTTGTAAATAGGTGTACAAAATACAAATATAAAGTTGATGGTAGTGTGGAAAGATACAAAGTTAGGCTAGTCGTACGTGGAGATACACAAATAGAGGTTATTAATTTTCATGAAACCTTTTCTCATGTAGTCAAAATGTGTATTATTAGATGTCTTATAGCTTATGCTGTTAAACAGAAATGGTCTTTATTCCAATTGGATGTCAATAATGCCTTTTTACATGGTGATTTGGATGAAGAGGTGTACATGAAACTCCCCCAAGGGCTTACTGTTGCTTCTGACTCTCATGTTCATACTTTGGTGTGTAAATTGAATAAATCTTTGTATGGTTTGCGTCAGGCTTCTCGCCAATGGTATGCTAAATTGTCCCATGCCCTTTGCTCTAGAGGTTATGGCCATTCTTTAAATGATTACTCTCTGTTTATGAAGAAATCGCCTCAGTCTACTGTGTTTCTCGCTGTATATGTAAACGATATCATTCTAACAGGGGATGATATGCTTGAAATTGCTGCCTTGAAAAGTTTTCTGGATGACCAATTTCGAATAAAGGATCTTGGGCTTCTTCATTATTTCTTGGGTATTCAGATTCATTATCACTCTTCTGGTGTTCTTTTGCATCAACAAAAGTTCATTTCTGATTTGCTTGCTGATTTAGAGTGTTCTGATGTCTCTTCTGTTGTATGCCCATTGGATTTGAATGTTAAGTTGCATTCTGATGTTGGTGACCCTCTGCCTAGACTGACACATATCGCAGCCTCATAGGGAAACTTAACTTTCTTAACCATACTCGCCCTGACATTTGCTTTGTTGTCCAACACCTTAGTTAGTTTCTCCAAACACTTAGAGTTCCTCACATGGCTGCTGCTTTACATGTCTTACGCTACTTAAAAGGGACTTCTGATGTTGGTCTATTTCTTAATGATTCTGCTGATTGTTCTTTGGTTGGCTACTGTGATAGTGATTGGGTTGCATGCCCTGATTCTCGCCGTTCTGTTAGTGGTTTTTGTGTGTTCCTGGGTGGTAGTCTTATTAGTTAGAAGTCCAAGAAACAACACGTAGTCTCTTTATCCTCTGCTGAGGCTGAATATAGAGCAATGAGCAAAGTTGTTGATGAGTTGTCTTGGCTGGTCCGTTTGTTGTCTGACTTGGGCTTACAAGCCCCCACTCCTCTCCCTGTTTTCTGTGACAATCAAGCTGCCATTCACATAGCCAAGAACCCTGTTTTCCACGAGCGCACCAAGCATATAGAGGTTGACTGTCACTTCATCCGTACCAAGTTGGCTGATGGTTTGATCTCTTTACATCATGTTTCTACTAATTCCCACTTGGCTGACATTTTTACCAAGTGCTTGACAGGTGGCGTTCATCATTCTTTGGCTGCCAAGTTAGGTGTGTGCCCACCCTCCAACT